TCGAAAAATTATTGACATTTATTGGCATAAGGTACTTTTTTGAAGACTGGGAAAAAAACTAAAACAGAAACAACGACCAAAATCAACAACATGCAAAACTATCAAATAGTTTCCATAACAAGTTGAGACGTCAGAATGACGTACTTACATGATCCAAAAAGGCTTTGAACCTGCAAAACAGACGTGCAACCTCATCACCTCAGCTTAATAGTTCAGCTTACCGTTGGTTGTCCATGATTACAATCCTGCGAAATGGTTTAAACGACTTCCCATCCTTGACTAGGGTGTGGAACTTGCTGCTACCATCGATTTCGGTATGAACAGGAATATCAAAATGACAAGCTTCACCTTCGTTCAGCTAAACCCAAAATTTAATTGAAGATGCAATCACCTTTGTTTCATTAGACTGACTTGCATCAAAATCTCATCCTCCACATTGTCATATATGATTTCAGCTGTTGACAAAGCTTTCTGAGTCAACCTTTTCTAAAACAGAATGAGAGATGGAAGAAATATCAAATACAAATGAAGAAGTCTCAACACCTTTTCGGCTTTTCCCATTTTTCTCCTTTTCTTCGCTGGTATACCACCATTACTTTCAGCTGTTACAGCTGGTTTGGAATCAGCAACCCTCAGTTTGTGTACGTAGATCAAATTTTGGAACGGCTTTTTTAGCTTATCATAGTCAGACCTGAAACACTCTTGACTAATGCACCATTAAACAGACTACAAATATGAGTACCATGTTACCTGAGGCTTTTGAACGAGGGAGAAATGATTTGCGTTGGAAAATTTAACATTCTTTCGTTGACAAAGAGACCTGTGCGCTTTGTTTGTAAACTATCATAGGCGCTGCGGAAGTCAGACAACGCATACTTCTGCGCTCTCTTTTCCACATAGTCCATGACGCCCTTGGCATACTTTGTCATTTCGTGCTGAAGACACATTAGTATACATCCGAGTGAATGAAATCAAAGGCCGCTTACCTTGGGAGACGTCAGCCTGATTACAGTCAGTAGACCATACACATCGTTTTCGTTATCTTCATCGCA